GGGGGGGGGGGGGGGGGGGGGGGGGAAGAAATCTGTTGCAGGTCAGGAAGAGGAGAAGCCCGGGAGATACAAGCCTGGATTCCTGAGGCAGAGGGGCCACTGTAGCCCTGAACTCTTCAAAAGAAAGAGTTCTTGCCAGCTCAGGTTGGCAAGAAATGGAACCTTCAGGCCACTTCAGGGGAGGAGATTTCTACAATGGCATGGTGACCCAGAGAGGGCTTTGAGTGTTTAAGTTTAAAGTGGTTGCTTGTGTAGTTTGCATTGCTGTTTTAACATATACCAGAGGATCAGGTGGCTACTGTAGAGATGGAAAGGAGGCCACAGGGGTGTCTGAAGGACACACCATGTTCTGCCAGGGACACACCATGTTCTGCCAGGGACAGGGGCATGAGAAAGAAACAGGCTGAGACCAAGGGGCAGGGCCTGAGCTCAGAGTGGGGACCGAAAAGGAGGTGGGGGTGACAGAGGCAGCCTGTGGCTGATGAGAGGCTCAGGCTGAAAGACTGAATCCTGATGAAAGGAAGGAAGAAGAAGAGTACAGATTTAGGACTTCAGAAAAGCAGACTTCAACTCATTCAGGGAACTGATGGGCAGGATCTCCTGGGAAGCCAGTATAAGGGGGAAAAGCAGTACAGGAGAGCTGGCTGTACTTTAAAAAGAAACGTTGCTGCAGGCGCCATCCCGATGGCATGAGCCATCCCGATGCACAGGAAGAGTAGCCAGCATGACAGAAGACCAGCTTGGCTTAGCAGGGAACTCTTCAGTGAGCTAAATACACAAAAAGAAAGCTTACAAGAAGTGGAAACGTGGACAAACAACTAGGAAGGAGTACAAGACCACTGTTCAGGCATGCAGGGATAAAAGTTAGAAAGGTCAAAGCACAACTGGTGTTGCAGCTAGCAAGGAACATGAAGGTTAACATAAAGGGTTTCTACAAGTATGTCAGTAACAAGAGGAAGATCAGGGAAAGTGTGGGTCCCTTACTGAATGGGGGAGTAAATCTAGTGACAGATGAGGAGAAAGAGGCTGAAGTACTTGATGTCTTTTTCACCTTAGTCTTCACAGGCAAGTCAGCTCCCAGACTACTGCACCAGACAGCATGGTTTGGGGAAGGGGTGAGCAGCCAACAGTGGTTAAAAAACAGGTTAGGGACTATTTAGAAAAGCTGGACATGTACAAGTCCATGGACTTGGATGATGCACCTGAGGGTTCAGAGGGAGTTGGCAGATGCAACTGCAGAGCTGCTTGCCATTATCTTTAAAGACTTGTGGTGATTGCAGGAGGTCCCGGAAAATTGGAAAAGGGCAAACAGTGTCCATCTTTCAGATACAGAAGGAGGATCCAGGGAACTACAGACAGATATGCCTCACCCTCCTCAGTCCCTGGAAAAATCATGAAGCATATCCTCAAGGAATCCATTTCTAAGCACTTGGGAGAGAAGGCGATTAGGAACAGTTAGCATGGACTAACCAAGAGCAAATCATGCGTTAAGCCGAATGCCTTCTACGATGAGATTACTAGTTCTGTGGAGAGCAGTGGATGCGATAGCAAGATTTTAGCAAGGCTCTTTATATGATCTCCCACAATGTTCTTACAAGCAAACTAAGAAAGTACAGGTTAGATTGACTGACTGTAAGGTGGACAGAAAACTGCCTGGATCATCAATAACTTGATGTCTAGTTGGCAGCTGGTATCAAAAAGAATGCCCCAAGGGCTCGTCCTGCGGCCTGTTTTGTTCAATATCTTCATCAACGACCTGGAAGAGGGGATGGAGTGCACCCTTAGCAAGTTTGCAGATTACACCAAGCTGGAAGAGTAGCAGATACGTTGGAGGGTAGGGCCAGGATTCAGAGACCTAGATAAATCAGAGGATTGGACCAAAAGAAATCTCATGAAGTTCAATAAGGACATATGCAAAGTCCTGCACTTAGTATGGAGCAAATCTCATATGCCACTACAGGCTGGGAACTGACTAGCTAAGCAGCAGCTCTGCAGAAAAGGATCTGGGGGTTATGCTGAATAAGCCAAATACGAGCCAATAGTGTGTCCTTGTTGTGAAGGCAGCTAACAGTCATACTGGGCTGCATTAGTAGGAGCGCTGAGAGCAGACTGAAGCAAGTGATTATTCACCTCTATTCGACACTGGTGAGGCCGCATCTGGAGTACTGTGCCCAGTTTTGGGCCTCCCATTATAAAAAGGATGTGGACAAGTTGGAGAGTCCAGCAGAGGGCAATGAAAATGGTAAGTGGGGGTGGGATCATGACTTATGGAAGGCTGAGGGAACGGGGCTTATTTAGCCTGGAGAAGATAAGACTGAGGGGGGAATTAATAGCAGACTTCAACTACCTGAAGGGGGGTTCAAAAGAGGATACAGCTAGAGTGTTCTCAGTAGTGGCAGGTGACAGAACAAGGAGCAATGGTCTTGAGGTGCAGCAGAGGAAATTTTTCCTAATATCTAACCTAAACTTTCTCATAAGGAGGATAGTGAAGCACTAGAATGGATTATCCAGAGATGTTGTGGAGTCTCCATCCTTGGAGGTTTTTAAGACCCGGCTACACAAAGCCTTGGCTGGGATGCTCTAGTTGGAGATAGTCCTGCTCTGAGCAGGGGGTTGGGCTAGATGACCTCTCAAGGTCCCTTCCAACCCTAATTTTTCTATGATTCCATGAAAATGCCCCAGAAGTTAAATTTGGCAAATCTATTTTGTTGGAACTTGAGAAGAACTACTCTGATAAAAGTGTGAACTTAGACTTCAGTTCTTCCTGGACTGCATTGAGTATGCATACATACACACTGTATCCCCACTCTTAGCACTTATTTGGATAATTGTGTGAAAGGGCCAATTACTATTAAGTTGACTACCAAGGAAATTATGAAACTTCATAAATCTTTGTAAAATATTTTGTCGTCTGTGAATGAAGGCAGCTACATCACTACCATGTACCCTAAACATCCAACTGTAAGAGCAATTAACCAGATTTTTTTAAGGAAAGTTGAAAGTTCCTTTTAACAGCTAAATTAAGCTGCTAGTTAAATCCTAACCCAGCCACTCTTATCATAACTAATAAGGCTGCACATGCGCATAATGATATTAGCTAGCTATAGGAAGGGTACAATCACCCGATTTTCAGAAACATAAAAATCAGATGGAAGGCATAACAACATTCAATTCTTATACAGATATAATCTTAAGTATAAAGAACTATGCTACTAACATAATTAATATAGCTTCTCAAAGAAGTCTTTCAGAAAGAAACCAAGTTTACAAACACCCAATTCTCACAGATTTCACTGGAAGGTGTGTGCAAGATTCTGTACTGAAAGAAAAAGTGATGGAACTGTATTCCCTCCATCTGTTTCAGAGCTTAACCAGAGCTAAGCATTAAAGAAAAAAAAAAAAGTACAACAAGACATCAGACAACCTGCATTAGAAAAAATGCAAGTTAAAATCTTCCAACAGCAGCTTTAATTTGGTCACACTACACAGTGAATTGCCCATTCCCCTTTTCTGATTAAATCTTCATTTTAACATACAACATCCTCATCATAAACAGTAGTATTGTAGATAAGCTACAAAGCATAGGTTTAAAAAAATCATACACGCTATATAAATATTCATGTTCCATTGTCCTCCATTACATGTAGAAAATAGTTTGCAAGTAGCAGAGAAAACAGCATATCCTCCTGGATAGAAGACATGAATGGGTCTAATTCCTAGTTCTGCAAACAACAAACTATTTGTGCTTCAGTTTCTGTAAGTGTGAAATGGAGATAGGCATATTTACCTATCCATGTAAAAGCACTGGACAATGAGTATGGACAGAAAGTATAAGAAAGTAATAACCTAGTATTCAGAATCCAGTAGGATGCTGATAAATGTCAACATGCTAAACATACTTTTCACGGAGAAAGTATACAAATAAACTTGAAAATGCCTTAGCAAAATTCCACGACTATCACCTACTGGAAAAGGGGAAGAAAAACGGAGACACCTTAAGCAATAGGTGTTGCACTCTTAGATATTTTTAACAGTAATCATAAACAAACCAAACCCTCCCCTTGCCACATACACAGACACTTAGCCAATGTGTACTTTTCTATGGAAAAGATGCCAATTACTGTTAAAAATTAAACCACGGGCTTATAAATAAATTGGGGAAATGTCTATTTTTCGGGTATTTGCAAGTTTGATAGTACTTTCCATATAGCTAATTTCACTCGTTCCTAATAAGGTCGTGGAATATAGCCAAAACGGAGGAGTGAAAATTAACAATGGTGAGGACATGTAGGGTCATACTAGTGAAACTAACATTTCGTACTTTCATTGGTTTCCAAATCTGCTACAGCACATAAGTACACCATGTCCTAAAAGTAATAAATCAAGTCATATTTAGGAAGCACATTTTCTTCTTTTGTTGTTTTGATGCATACCTCAGGACAAGGTTCTACATGACAATCTTTAATAGAACAATGGCCATCATCAGCCCAGAAAGGACACGGTCTCTTAAGATTAACCTATAAAAAAAAAAAAAAAAAAAAAAAAGCAGATATCAAGAGATACTGTTAGTATATCAATTTACAAACAACTTCAAAATAGAAGACTTACCACTTTAATAAAGTCTTCCTTGCCGGGAAAGAAAGAGTGAAGAGCAAAGTGCTAATCCACTAATACTGTAGGAGGGATTTTTAATGTATCAGCACTAATTTCTCATAGTGTGAAACGAAGACCACCACCAATCTCTCTTCCACTGAATTGGACATACATCAAAGTTGTTATAGAATCAAAAGGTGAGGCAAATAAATTCTGTTTACCTATCAAGATAAATATTATCTAGCAACAGTAAGTGACTGTAAGTTCAGACTGAATTTTAGTAATTTTTTCATTCAACTGGAAAACTTACCTTTAAAAAAGTGGCCTTGGAATTCACATCATCTTAATTTATCTCTACTTTCCCAGGAGAATTAGGTATATGATAAAGCCAGCCACAATATTTATAATTTAAAAACAGATCTATGTAATTATTTATATTATGTTACTTGTACATAATATAAATATATGCATGTGTGTAAGCATAGTTTCAGATTCCAAACTGAGCAATGCAGCTTGTTCACTACTACACTTCACAGTGAATACAGAATATTACTACTCTGCTATTGTTTTCTATATTCAGAGAGCAGAGGCAATCACATTTTTTTTGAGCGTTTTGAATTGCATAAGTACAGTAAACAAAGATACATTTACTGAAGTGAAAGAAATAGTCTAGTGCAAGTGAAAATGAAAAGGCTCACTAGGGCCACGTTTTAGGACATTTTCTGGTCGACCCCGCTTTTGACAACAAATAGCGGAAATAGAGCAAGCAATGTAATGCAGGTAATTATCTTTGTATGCTCAGATTCAGAATGGTTTCTTTCCAACAGGAATATCCTCTGATCTTTTCCATTGCAACTCATAAGTAATCCAAGTGAAAATTTATGAATAACTAATCTGACATTGCATTAAGATAATTCAAAGGAAAGTAAACACATACTAAAAACTGAGATTAGCAATTAACCATCACTTTGCCCTCTAGATCAAGCATTTTTTTTTTTTTTATGGAAGTAGGTTTTGCTTCAAATAAGTAATAAAACTTAGATGTTTTCTTTTGTACTTACTGAACAAGTGCTTTCTGACAGAAAGTGGCAGATTTCAGTGAAGAAACTATTACCATTCTTTCCATTCTATAGTCCATATACTGCATATTTTCATATACCATGCACCCCAAATAAAAAGATGCACTTTGTTTTGGGGAGGCAGAATGAAGAGAAGAAGATTTTTCAAGAGTCATGTCCAAAAATTGACTGCATGGACTTGTCTTTGGCTAGCTCTCTGGCTCCTTCACAGAAATGCTAGATTTTTAACCCTCTTATAGCCATTGCAAAACTGGGAGAAAAGCAGAGCCATCAGCAAATGTTATACCACGTCCATATTTGCATTCTGATGAAGAAACCAGCTTCCTGCTTAACACATGCATCCCAATTTTGGTTGGCTAATTTTTGGGGAAAAGGTGCATGTGTTAGGTAAGTTCGCTTTTTTATTGTGGTCTGTGCAAACAACTGCTGCCTCAAAACTTCTGCTCATGAAGTTAACTCAGCAGATGAGGGCAATATTTAGATACATAAATTGGATAATCCTGTATCATGTTTATTGAATGATAGGACTTCACAATTTCTCTCTCTCTCTTTTTTTTTTTTTTTTTTTTTTTTTTAAAGAGAGTACTGCTATCAGAATCATAAATACAGACCTCTTAACAATGAGCAAACTAATGCAAGAATGCACAGCAAAATGATTCTTAGACTCCAAGATGGCATTGAGCCCCCCACAAGGTTTCAATAATAAAAGTTGATAACATATATTTCTTAATTACAAGACTTACATAGGCAAATCAATAATTTTGGCAAGCTTACAATGGGTTTTTAAACCAGAAAACAACTTCAAATTGTTTTATTCAGTATTTTTAGTAAAACTACTTCAAATAGTGTTATTAAAAATACAAATACTGAATACTTCTGAAACAATGGTTTTACTGGGAAAAAAAAGTCATATTATATCTGCCTTTTGTTAAAGTGGCAGAATCATTAAAATACATTCAATGGAGGAAAAACAAAAATGCCATACTTTTTTCCATTTTAATATAGAGATGACAGTATTCAAAACAACCCCGCTGAGAGGATCCTTGTTTTTCTCTTTACATTAAGTTCTCCCCACCCCAATCCTTTTTTTTTTTTTTTTTAAATTCACAAGTTCTATATTTATACAAAAAAGAAAGAAAGAATCCCAAAAATCAATGACAGCAAATGAGATCAGATGTTATATTTCATTATTCTTGTGTGTCCAGGTACATAATACACTACCAGGTATGTAATGCTAATTTCCTCTTTTTAACAAATAGTGTTTGGTGTTTATCCTCGAAGATGCATCTTTTTTAGATTTTTTTTCTGCTGCTGAATCCAACTACATTCGAGGATTAAATTCATTCCTAATTTTTTTTTTCCTAGCTTGCAATTTCTTGTAGCTGCCCCAAGATGGTTACCCCATTGTGAACAGAAGGGCGGGTGCTCAGGAAGACTGAAAACAGAAAACACTGTTCATGATACAGTAAGTGCGAGAAGCCCCAACTTGAGAATTAATTCAGTAAGATTTCACTAACTACAAAATTGCTATGAAATCTCTAAAAAGGCAGCCAAGAATGCCAAGTGCTAAGGGATAAGTCTGGATAAGCAGAGTGAGAATAATTATCTGCCAGGAAACAAAATGCTATCAAACAGAAATGTTCACCTTGATTTGATAACATTTCCAACATAAAGGTCATGGAGATACCAAATACAACAGGTGCACCATACATTTCTTTCTCATTTTAAAAGCTACATGAAAAAATAGATTTAATCCAAATAAATATTTATTTTTAAAAGCAACTGTAATTCAAACAGCTCTGAAAGTAACCATCTGCTTTTGACCACGATTATTCACCAAACCTTGGGTTGCTCTAATGATCAGAGGCTAGGTGGGTTATGTGCATGCTTACAGTTAACATGCCCCCCAACCCCTCATGGTAAAGATATAGTCTACATTTTGTAACTTCTCCCATCCTGTAGGTAACATTTAGCCTCAAATGCTCAGTGCTCAAAAGACCTAAAAAATCATGGTACTTCCTAGAATCTACAATTTCTAAGGGTCAGGCATGCAGCCTTTTTGCTTCTTAAATGCATAGAACAACAAAGTAAGGAAGTTATTTTTTTCAGACTATTCAATACCCATTTATCCCAAATGCTTGATTACTTTTCCTAAAGGAGGTCTTGGTTGAAAACTGAAAAAGCCTCCCAAACTGCTTCCAATATATCCCATAGTAAAAGCAGGGAAGACCAGACTTAACCTTCTGATGTTTCTAAAGGAAAATTCCGCCCCCCCCCCCCCCCCAACCGGGCGCCCCCCAACCCCAAATACACAAGAATTGAAAAAGGGGATGCAATTTTTTTTAAGGCTATTCTAATGAATCACAACTGTTCAACTCTGCCTTCTTTGCCGAAGGCTAGAATGTTTGAGATTTTCTATAACATCTTTAATTTCTTGGTCTCAGGAAAAATTAAGATCAGGTGAATGAAAACTGAAAGCATGAAGCTGTGCTAGTCAAAAGTATTTCTTTAGTTCAATGGCTAGATTCTAGTTCTACTATAATTGCTTGTTTAAAATCTGCCAACAGCAAGGTGCCCAACTGAAGAATTTTTTTTTTTAAACTGACAACACGCAAAACTTTTATTGACAATCAAATTTTTTTTTACTGATGTTTTACATGATGTAAATGTAACCTTTCTGCCAAGTCCTGGACAGCAGGAACAGAGGCCAAGTTCAAAATTAGGGGTTTAACAGTGAGCAGTCTTACTTAATTACAGTGATGGCTTTACACTATACACCCTAGATGTCTCCTACTCACCCTGTACCTTAACGCCTCTGACTGTACCATGCTGCCCCACCCCAGCCCACCCCAAAACCTTACTCCCCAATGGTCCTGCTCCCCCATCCCAGCACAGACCCCCATTGGCTCTTCTTCCTCCCAACCCCAAAGTTTGGTCCTGGCTACATCACCCTCCTCCCTACTACATCTGGTACATCAGACTGCTTGGGGTGCCTACAGACCCTGCCTACCTTTGAGGCAAACAGCTGTTACAGACAGTTGACAGTCAATAGGATGCAGTGACAGCATGTGACTTTGGGGGCAGAGGGAGGGCATGCAACAGGGCTAAGGAAGCTCCCAGACCACAAAGCTCTGACAGAATTCCCTGCAGGGGAACCAAGCTGCAATCCCGCTCAGACAAGGTCTGTCCATCTGGCAAAACTTGCATCCAGCTTCATTCTGATGACAAAATTATGCTCAGAGTTTCTTCGTCCAACAGTAGCAGTCTTACATAATTACAGTGATGGAAAGCTTCCCCCGCTTGCTTAATTTTAAACTTCCTAGCAAGCCCTGCCACTCGGAAACACAACTTGGTTTACCTTTTTCATTATATGACAGCATTTGTATAGTATTCAGAGAAATGGCTTTGCATTTGATTTCTTGTTCTTGTTTGCCTGTCATCTGCTACTTCAGCAGAGTCGTATTTTATATATCTATAGCTATATAGAAGCAATGAGATGGGGAACCCTGTGGGAATTCTAGTTCATGCCTCCAGTCTCTCTCCCCCTCCCCACATTATCCTGACAGCCAAGAAACATAAAAAAACTACCTAGTACTAAAAAACAAAAAAACCCTCAATCGAATGACTGGCATGTTCCAGCCTCAAACTCAAGTGGAAAGTGAGCCCCTACTCTAGTGGTGCTGTGAAGTGGCAGCGGTCAAGCTTGCTGTATTCTGAAGACTAATCTATTCTGCACTACGTGTACTCAAAATATGGAATAATATGTACCTGCTGGAAGAGCAAGAGGAGGAATTTAGCATAATACCAGATGGGATAAGCTAATCATCTACTACTGCTTTAGTGTGGCACTTGTAAGGAAACAAAAGTTTCATTTTCAGCCTTATCATGGATGTCTGCATTCACTAGCCTGTAAGCGCAGGTAACCCAACTCATTCCTTAGAGAAGGATCAAGCACACACTACATTGAGTACAAGTGTTTAAAGTTACTTGCTTGTGCTATTGAGGAGTCACAAAGTAATTATAATACATTTCTTAGCACATACCACTGACAGGGTGCCTGTGTACCACTGGTAGTACCTGTACCACAGATTGGGAACTGCTGCTCTAAAGAATATGTTGGCTCCAAATAGTCAGGATATCTCCCCACATAGATCAGACAAATTACTGATACCTGAACTATGGAATATTCCAGAAAAAAAAACAAAAACATGCTGGCATACAGCAGTGGTTCTTAAGCTTTTTAGACTCAAGATACCCCTCCATAACTCTTATTAAATGAGCAGCATCCCATTTCCAAAGCTACTTTATTTATTACAGTCAGTCCTTACCTCCTTGCAAAGAGGCTGGGCAATCGGGCCAATGAAACCCTAAGCATGCTATCCTCCACTTAGCCTAACACGTGGCGCCTGATCCTGCCCTTCTGGCCACCTGTACACATGACTGGGGTTTAGTCCCCTGAACAAACAGTGAGTTGATTGTGACAATTAAAAACACACTTTCAATTTAGGGGCTTCTGTCACTTATGGTGAGGTGCCCAACCCCCACCCCCCCTTATCTCCCCTGCGGCGGGGGGGGCGAGCTGCCAGCGAGCCGAGTAGTCCCTGAACTGCGAGGGTCCCTGGTCCTTCCCTCTCCAGCAGCAGCAACCCCCCAGGCCGCCTGGGTGAGCTGCTAGCAGGAAGGTGCCGTGCCCTGTGGAGGGAAGTTCGAGGGCCCCCTGCAAGTCAGGCCCCACCAGCAGTTCACCCCCTGGCTGTGGGAGAGGCAGGCAGGCTCTGTTGTGGGGGGAGGGGGGGGGGGAGAAAGAGGATCAGGCCCCTCTAATGCATCCCAAGTTGCCCCAGCACCTGGTTGAGAATCACTAGCACAGAGATATGTGTTAAACCAAAATAAAACCAAAGGGGACAAGAATCCAATGCATATTTAACATGTGTTTGCAAAAGGGAAACTAAAAACACATGCATTATGCAATCACTAAAGCTAACAAAATATCAGCTGAAAGAAATTGCCAAAGATATTTTTAACATAAAAGTCCTATAAGTTCCTCAAAGCCTGTAGCTTTACACAGAGTAGGAACCACAATGGAGGTGCATATATTAACTTTTTACTCAAGTATATGTAAACTCTTATTACCTAGGTGACATGGCAAAAAAATCCTGTCATTTTGATCATCTTGTAGTACCAAAAATTTTGGAAATCAGTGTCATACCATTAGAGACTGCTTTTAGCATTTTATAAACAAATTGTATAAAGTGTCAAGTAAGAATATTCTGATTCCCAACTCCAACAGCTGGTAGAATCAGAACAGAAGAAAATTAGCTCTTGGTGATAGGTGGAGCCAGGTCATCACCCTTGTACATTTGTTTTTTTGAAGTGTAATATCTTTAACTGTTAGCCAGAATAAAGAACTGCTTACCATTAGAAAGGCTGCATCAGTTCCTATATCTAATTCAGGAACAGATATTACAATACAACAGTATTAAAGTGAGGAGAGGGGGGGAAGGAGGAAAAAAAACCCAAAGCAGACAAAAAAAAAAAAAACAAACCAGTATGCGTCAGCTGATCTGATGCAACATTTTTGTCGAGGTAGCTATACAGCATAAGTAGGTGAAGCTATACTACAGAAGTTTAAAACTGAATGAAATAGGGAAAACTACAGAGGTTTAAACTTGACAGATAGATGAAATGGGACACAAGATTCAGCTGCACCAGAATAATCACCCCTGTTTTCCACATTTAAAACAGCATAATCATTTTGTTTGTTCATACCCATAGTGGTTAACATTCAGTGCATTTTAAAGCCACATTCCCCAAAAGCTAAAACAGTCTTGATTTACATTAAGCCCTGGACCAGTGACAGTTACAAAGAGAAGATCTCAAACTAGTGCAGCGTTCATGGACTAAAAGCAAATTACCAGCAGCCTGTAAAGTGAGCTGTGGGCTGCCAAGAGAAAATGAGATTCAAAGTTACAAATAATTAATAATAGAAGTAGATAGAAAAAACTAAGCCTTAGTATGTGGTTTTAACTTTAACTGCACAGGAAAACGTCATTTTTATGTACCTTGTAATATCTGAAGTAGTCTCGTTCTTGCAGTTTCTGTATTTTGGGGAAAATCTTGTAAGTATTGAAGTCATCAATGCTTTCTATATCACACTGGCAATCATCCAGGACTCCTATAAGCTATACATGTAAAAAAAAAAAAAGTATTTAGTAACATGGCTCTGTGGATATTTATGGATGTTACACGGCCCTTTTCTTATTTTATTTTTTTTTAGCAGAAGTAAGAAAGAGGCAAACCACGAGATAGCTTAGTCAAATACAGTTCAATAACAACATTTATTTAGTGTCTTGGCAGGAGAATTCCATATATTTATTACTAGTAAGTTTCATACACAGGTTTAAACTTTCAAATTCTACATCTTTGTTGCCATAGTCCATTGGGTTTAATCCATCTCCTGTACAACAAGGAAGGGCAGGGTGGACTCATCCAGAACTCTGAATGCATTAATCTGGCAGATGCCACCCTGTAGTGCTTTCTACCTAACTTTATACTAATGGGGCTAAATATTCATAAAGGCTTGAAAGGACCTTAAGAGCTCCTCAGTTTAAACAGGGAATCGAACCTGCAACCTTGGTATCATAAACACCAGGCTCTAACCAAGCTAAACAGCCACTTTCCTCTCTGCTCCTGCTATAATGTTATGCTAACATATGAATAGTTATACAGATGGTTACCACTGTCCTACAATTTGTTCAGCAGTTACAGTCCACCCACACACAACACGATGGAAGCTGTGGGGCCTAAATTTCCCAAACTCAAGTGCGTAAATTCAGACATGGCTCTCTGGTTAAGCACCCTTATAGGAATTACTCACCACCCTAGGCAATCAAGTCTGCAACAAAGGTAAAAAAAATCTTGCATTATCTTGGTAAGGGTACAATATTCATTTTAAACCAAGTGAAATTCAGCTACCCTGTGTTTTTAGAAGGAAAGAGTTTTATTACCATTTCCCATTAAGTTAATAGTTTTGTCATTAAAAATCTGCGTGTTAATATTAGGAAAAGAAAGTCAGACAACAGCAGTGCCTGAAGTGACCCATACCAACCATATTTACTGCCTATTAAATACAAAGTTCAGAGCTTTAAAAACAAAAACAAGCAAAACACCTCATTGCTACTTTATAGAACACAAGACAGAAATATCAAAGTCAAGTGGAAAAAAATATGAAGTCTATCAGGTTAACTTCCAAACTACAATTAACACTAAAACACTTAAATGCTAAAACTGCAGTTATATGCTATTGGGAATTGGGTCTGTCAGGTCTGTTTTCCAGTACCTAACAATGAAAACTTGATTCTCAAAAATTTGCCTGTTTACTTTTAGTAAACTTTTTAGTTACTCCAAAAATGGATACACAAATCAATTTTTTATCCCTTGTGATTCAGTCTTTCAAACAACACAAAAATTGCCCAGCAAACCATAGAACATGAAAGATTTGAGACCTCTTCTGATCTTGAAGGTTCACGAGTTCCAACTCTAAAAGATAAAGGCAATACATCTAAACACAACAAGAAAGTGGTTATATCATCTGTAACAGGGGGCCTTCTCAGGGCTGATTTAACTGTGGCCCACCCACCTATTTTTGGGCTAACCGCCCGCCTTCTCGGTAATTAATTAATAGATGTTAATCAAGCAGAAGGCTGCCCATTAGCTCCCCCTGGCATCGGGGCAGAGTATCCGTGGCTCCATTCCTCCCCTCCACAGCAGCCCAAGCCTCACAGGTGGCATCTAGATGTTATCATCATCACTGGGCCCCACTCTGGGCCCCAGAATCCTCCTAATTGAATCCTGCCTGGATTCCTCTTCTCAGGCGGTCTCATCTGCCTTCATACTAGGCAGCATAGCTCCCTGAACTGCTTCCCATTTGTGTGTGGTCCCTCTGGGACCTTTGGCTCACTAGCCCTGGCCCACCTCCAGGCCAGTCAGAACCGCAGGCGTGCAGCTCTTGGGTGTTCCTTGCGGTGGGCCCCTGGCCCTTCAACCCTTCCGGTCCTGGCCCCAGCATTGACCAGTCAGGGCAAATCCAGACAGGCATGAGTCTATGGCCTTTTCTCTCTTTCCGGTGTCCACCCTCCCGGCCCTCCAAACAAGGTAACCCACCCGATTGTGGGGACCAGGGGTTAAGGCGCCCCAACCTGCCTTTCACTGGGATGGTAACTGGCCTGGCATTTCCTGGGGGCTCCTGCACCACTGGGAACCCCACTAGGCCACCCACACCCGGCAGGGTGCAGTTTTAGGTCGTACCCAGGACCAGGAGCCTCCTGACCATCCCCTAACAGCTCCTCCCTTACCTCCAGCAGCCCTCCGGCCAGGCAATGTTGTTGTCTGGCCTCCAGCAGCAGAACTGCCTTGTTTATATGGGCAGCTCCAGATTCAAAATGGCTGCCCTTGACAGGCACCTGGCAGCTGCCAGCTTCGGGCCCTTAAAGTTGGAGGCACTCGCAGTGCCCTGCCACACCATCCAACATACTGTTTTTCTTTGATCCAGTTTTAGAACAGCAGTAGCACTTTCTTCCATTGAACATAGCAAAAATGTAGAATTATACTTTAAGGACTAATATTTTATGTAACATTATGTTCTTATTGTATTAGCATACTCTTTAAAGGCGCATTATTGGTCTACATGTTAAGTGAAAGCACAGAACTAGAAGGCAATAGAGTCAGTTCAAGAAACCACTAAAGAGGTCGGAGCTTCACGTGGCTTGTTATTTTACAGAGCTGTTCTGCTCGTGTGATTCTGAAACTCAAAAATGGGTCTTGCTGAACAATAAACTGCTGTGAAGCAGTTATGCAACATTTTCTGAATCTTCTCAATCAATGTTAGGTTATTTACATTAAAACAATTTTCTCTTCTTTTGATGTTTTAACAAAGTACTGCATTGTAAAAGTGCTATGCAATTATATATTAAAAGAAATAATTTTTAAAAGACTGCTTCCTTCCCATTACTCCTGCTGCTTGTATATCTTGCATTTCACTCCGTTTTGATAACTAAACTAGATTGCTAACTCACTTTAAGGACACTACCAAATTCTGCACTGGCACACGTTATCACAACTCTAGTTCTTTAATGGAGTTGCACTGATTAGCAATTTATGCAGTGACTGAATTTTGTCCATTGCATTTTTTTGCAATATTTAAGTTGTTTCACTTCTCATACTAAAGGGGATTTTATTTATTTTGGAGGAAGGGATTTAGACACTTAAACTGAAACAAAGAACCTCATTAAACACTTACTGGTCCCGATAATGATACAACCTAAAAAATAATTAAAAACCTAGCATCTCTCTCTCAAATCTCCCAGAGGATGTAGTAAAATACAGACATAAAATTAAGAACAGTAGAGTTATACAAAATGATTCTAGATAAGTTAAAGCCTCTTAAAGCAGATGATTATTATTCAGTCAGAACTGAAACACCCTTTTGTATTTATATTTAGCTAGTCAGCTTACTAGCACCTATCAAGAAGGCAATTCCCTCATCACCACGTTTACTAAAAAAAAAAAAAAAAAAAAAAAAAAAAATCAAAAGAATGAAAAATAGAAAAAAGGACTAGCATATTCATTTTTATTTTGTTTGGATGGTAGGTGTCAAATTTATCACCTTTTATATTTATATAAAGTAGGCCAAAACATCTTCATACATTTGTCACAGCCAAACTGATGAACTGTCACATAAAACATTCATGATGTAATGTTGAAAAAGGAAGCTAGCAATCAAAATTTGCAAGACAAATAAATGAAGTATTTTTATATTGATTTATGAAGTATTTGTAAATAAAAACACTTTTAAAACATGGAGATTTCTTTAGCTTCAAAATTATAACAGTTCATCTATGTGGAATTTGGAGAGAGAAAGACTCAAAGCTTGCATGTATCATGAGATTCATTTTGAATATATTAATAGAGTAATGTAAATAGCATGTTTACACAAACAGCTTTAAACTGTGTTATCAGGTTGTTTCTGAAGCAATTAAATTCCTCATTAGAGCACCAACTGGGACACCTTGTTTTGCTTCTACATGGTTTATCTTTTTTCAGGAGATTCAGAAAGAGAAAGAAAGTGATAGGCAACAAGATCCAAAAGCAAATGTTATCAGAAGATTAACTACAGTGTGAAGGGATGCTATTTTCAACTATTGTTTAAAATGAGACATATGATATCATTCCCATATGATAAAGATAAAACACACAGTAAAAACATTCATGCCAGTTTGCCAATGACTGCATTAAAGACCACCAACAAAAAACTGAAAACTTGCTTCAGAAGCCATTTAAATGCATCCCATGGACTCTGTAGAATCAAACTGCCACTAAAATGCAGCCAGAGGCAAGGATTTCCAGGGGATGATACCTTCCTTTACTGGACCAACTGCATGGCTGGGATAAATTTAGATAAGCTTTCAAATTGCCTCACATCATTCCTGGACCCTTATGGCTAAATCACTCCAACCTTTTGGAAGTCTAGCTAACGCAACCTCAGTGGACATGAGACACCTCTCCCTAACTTTGGTGAAAGTAGTGGTACCCCATTTTTAAAACAACTTATAGATTGCAATGCTTAGCTCCTTGCAGAGGGGCTGGAGAGCCAGGGTTGGTCAGGCAGGAACAAGTTCTAGCCTGTGTTCACCCACTTATCTCCTTACCTCCTACAGCACTCTTCAAAGAGTCTGGCACACTCCTGGTTGAGCCCCCCCCCCCCCACAGCTAACTTGTTGGAAACTCTAATTCTAGGTTGGATGGTGGCTTACAAGAGAATTGGTTTCACCATATACACACACACACACACACCCCCCCCCCAACACGGACATTAAAACACGCAAAAGTGTCTGTGTTGCTCTGTATTTACCCAATACAGCTTCCTGCCTGCCCCAAACAGAATGGGGCAAAAAAACCTTGCCTTACATTTGTATACAAGGAAATATCATTAAATATACTGTTTATCATTAACCTGCTGCCAAAAGCAGCACGTGGTCAAAAATGAAAAACAACTATGAAGCCAATTAAATGCAGCCAACACTGAGCATGACAATAATAATATAGCTCATACTGGGCAAACATACCACAAGAACAGGTTAGTGCAGCCCAGCTGAATAAGACAGTAGTGTCCATTGTACTCAGTCCCCCTCACTGCCGACTCTTTTTTCAAGTCATGAGCAGCCGTTATACTGAATATACTTCAACTTTCTCTCCACTCCCACAGTGGAACTGTGAATTTGGCCCCCACTACATTTTACAGGTATTGAGCAATTACCTTGAAACCAGCTACACATCCAAAGTAGGAGAACTCTCTCAGTAGGAGGGTGGTGAAACACTTGAACAGGTTACCTAGAGAGGTGATAGAATTGCCATCCTTAGAGGTTAAGGGCCAGCTTGACAAAGCCCTGGCTGGAATGATCTAGTTGGGGATGGTCCTGCTCTGAGCAGGGGGTTGGACTAGATGACCTCCTGAGGTGACTACCCAGCCTAATTTTCTATGAATCTATGATTCTAAAGTGCAGTTTTACCTGCCCATGTTAAGGGCAAAAAGGCTACAGGGAGAACTAGAAGGGCAGAGTGGATGGTGTGAAGACAGAGCTGAGAAAGGACTGTGGTAGAAAAAGAAAGCTCTTGATAAGTGCTCAGACCCTCCCCGAATACCAAACCTGAACTGCGAAGCTGGACATGATCTGACTGGTTTTCAGCCGACCACTGCTGCAGAACATCTTTAAGGTAAACCCTAGATGTCTGGCTGGGCTGGCAGCCTTGCTTATCAGGCTGGACTGGGATTTCACGTTCCAGGACTACCAGGGCTTTAAGGATTTCTGAGAGATAAACAAGAGGAAGAGAGAGGGCCCAGGGCTTCAGTTCTTTAACTCTGGAGAGCTGGAGGGGAACCGGGAGCATGTAGCAACTGTGAAGATATTTAACTTGGCAATGAGGAAAGAAGACAAAGAGCTGTCTTATCAGGTACTGCAAAAAGGTGGGTGAGATTGAAAAGGTACAGGACCCCAATAGGATCTGGATACCCTGCTATCAGCTGACCCAGAAAAACCCAGCGAGATACCTCCCACCAGTACTAGCCCTAGGGCAAACAGGGGGTTCATGATTTACCACAGCCAGCCAAAGTTGTGCAGGAAGTATGGTGAAGAGGGGCACTTAGCTTTGGTCTACCCCTGCACCACATTCTCCGTATGTAGTACGAAGGGCCACATGGCAAAGAACTGTAAGAAGAAAAGTTGCTGCAGCCTCTGTCAGGAAGAAGGTATGTGTTTCACTCCTACCCCCGGTCATTTGAGAAAGAGCAAGGCAGCAAAGAAAGGAGAACAAAGAGCAAGGGAAAAGGGAATGAGAGACACCTGCAGAAGACGCAGCAGAGCCTAAGGAGCAAGTGAAAAAAGTTATAAAGAGAGCCAGGGAGAGTCAGGAAAAGTACACTCCAGCCCTTCCCCCACCCCTCCCAAGCTGAAAGCCAGAGAGAAAGAGGAGAAAAAAAAAATGCAGGGAGGGGAACACTGTACCCCTGAAAAAGGAGAGAAGGGAAGAGAGCAGCTCAGAGAAAGGAGGGTCAGAGAAGAAGTAAAATGAGACGGAATGGCATTTAGAAGAAAGAGAGGAGGAGGAGAAACCAAAGAAGGGAGTTGAAGGGTAGAGGGGAAAGAAGCAGAGCCCCAGCCAAGTACCTCTGCCAGTAGTCTTCCCTCATCGGTTTTCTCCCCCACAACAAAGCCCTGACCACCCAGAAGAGATTTTTGCCAGTCAGGAGGAGTGGGTGGACAAGTTCTTAAGAGTCAGACATGATACAGTTTGTGAAAGCAATGAATATGAAAATGGACAAGAAGGAAGCACAGCGGGAGGATAAGACAGAAGAAAGCCTGTAAAGAAACAAGCTAACATCAGACAGATGAAGGTAAACTGAAATATTACATCAAAACGTTAATCTCTCTAAATTTACAGTATGTACTAAATAAGGACAGAAGGAATGGTTGAAGTGTATCTAGCCCAGATAGAGCCAGATATTATCTATATAAAAGAACGTGCATTATCAGTAGCAAAATAAATAAATAAATAAATAAATACGAGAGATGGTGGAAGTAGAGGCCATCTAGCTGGTCTGGCTCAAATATTAAGAGCAACACGTGTACCCATGCCAATTAAGAACCCAAGCATCGAGATCAAGAGAAAAAAAAAAAAAGAAGTGTAGGGGGGGGTTAATGCTATAATGTGCAAAATGAACAAGAAGTTATTTGAGATCACAAATCAGTGGACTGAGATGAGGTGTGGAGATTCCTGAAAAAACTAGGAACCAGCATGACTGGCAGAACACCCTGAATATTAGTAGGTGATTTCAACTGCATACGACAAGCGCAGGACAAAAAGGGCAAAGGGCAAGCAGGAGCCACAGACAAGTCAAAGATCCTAAACAGAATAATCGCACACAAAATAATTTGCAGGATACAGAAAGAAGAGGACCGGGGAAGTTATCTTCACAAGAGGAAACCTAGCAAGGAAATTTCTCATGAACTGACCTTACCCTGACATCAAAACACTGGACAAAGAGAAGCAGAAACACCAGTTTTCCTCTTAGAGCACTGCACACTTACAGCAAGTGTCAAACAGTGCTTAAAGCTGAGCCTATGCAGGGTGAAAATATATTTATGGAGGGACTGAGAAGAGAAAGGGGAGGAAGAAAAAAGCCTTGGAGAAAGAAATGGGTCCTGATATTTGTAGACAGAACCTAAAGACAGAAAGATGCAAAAAAGAAGGTGGGGGGTGGGAGCGAAGTTGCAAGGGAAACTGGATTATACAAATAAAGGGGATAGGGAAAGGTTCACATACCAATAAGATGTAAAATGTGGAATACCTAAAACAATTGAGGGAATAAATGGAAAAGTTTGTTTTCATGGACAGGCTACATAGCTACATTTTTTTAGATGGGGTAGGTGAGGGGAAAAGGAAGAAAGAGCTGAACGGAATTTGGATACTTTTGTAATAAAAACAGGGTTTATACTATGTATAAGTATTATATATGCTGCTTAAAAGCATGCTCACAAAGTACCAGTGCTAAAACTTGCAGCATTTAAAAAAATAAGAGGGAAGCTGCAACAACTCTGGGTGAACTAAGTCTATGGGTATTTCCAGTAACTGGCCTATCTGCATCTTAATACAGGCACGTCTATTTTGAGGTCAGCATGTTCACATTTCCTCCTCCTTTCTGCGTGCTCAGGGACAGCAGAGTCTGCCAGCAAGGGGAAGAAGCTGGAGGGGGAAGCAGAAGGCAAAGCAACTACTTGCCTCCCCCATTTAATTTTCCCTACTTGTAGCAATGGAAGGGGACAGATTCAAGGCAAACCTCCAACAGTTATTAGACCAGCTCATTTTCCAGGTATAGACTCAAGAGATATGCTGGGTTTTTGGTTGCGTGGGAAACTGCCTCCCTAATCAGAGATACCCAAATAGGGTAGGTGAGGGGAAAAAGGAAGAAACAACCTTGTCTGCCCATTCACCCAGAAATATAAATGGGCAAACAAGGTTCTTTGGGTTAATACCCATTTACCCAAAGAAGCTTGTCTGCCTATAACAATTTCCAGAGACTCTAATTATTGGAAGCTGAGATCGGAGCAAATAAGGTGCATATGTCTGTCTGTCTACATATCTGTACAGACTCTATATATACACACACACGCGCACACACGCACACACACACACACACACACGGGCTCCTCGCAGCACCGCAGACCCC